TTCAGGTGGGTTTCATCGACTACATAGTTCATCCTCTGTGGGAGACCTGGGCCGACCTGGTCCATCCAGATGCTCAGGAGATCTTGGACACACTAGAGGACAACAGGGAGTGGTACCAGAGCATGATCCCACACAGCCCCTCACCAGACCAGTGCCAGGAGGAGGAGGAGGAGGAGGAGGAGGAGGAGGAGAGAAACCTTGTCGGGGAAGCCTCAGCACTCATTGGGGCGGAGGCTCCACTTCGGCAGACAAGTTTCAGTTTGAGCTGACCTTGGAAGAAGAGGGAGAGTCCGGTACAGACAGTCCCCCTGAGGAAGAGGGCAGGGGGTCTGAACTCTCCAGAACTGATTCTGGCAGCGGATTTGATGCTGCAACTCACCTGCTCCCCACAAAACTCAGCCCTGATTCTGGCAGGACTTTTTCTTTAGACTCTGAGAAAGACATAGCAGAAGACAAAGAAGCGGACCAGGAAGGCATCTCTGGTGTTCCTCGCTTCCGACTTGGCACATAGCACCAACCAAAATGTAGGTTCCTTTTGGTCGTTTTTGTTTATTTTTCTTTTTTTCTGGGCCTCATCCTCTGTCACTCCCATCTCCCACTCCAACCTGAACACAACCACGTCTGGGTTCCACAGACAGGGTGACAGAAAGCCTCTGTGTTGGGAGTTCAGGAATGCAAGTAGGTGTAGGGGTTGTATGAAGTCTGCAGTTTAACTCAGCAGTCACTTGCACTGGAGAGAGGGTATCAGACTGTGTCACTGTTCCAGCAGAGGACAGGTAACCAAGTTTCTCAGCGGTCCCTTTTATCTCTTAAACAAACTGTTGATAAAGTTCTACAGAGACAACAAGAAGTTTTAAAAAGAAAACTTCCTTTTACCAGCCGAACCAAGGTCTAAAAACAGTACTGTCCTCCTCTTTTGAAGAAAGTGAGGAAGTGATGAATGGCTGTGAAAACACAAAAACATCTTGTAAGATGTATTGCCAAACTTGCAATTTACATGGACAATGATGTTTTGCCTGCCTTTCTGATATTTTATTTTTTGTTTATTTTTGTTGGTTCATATATTCTGCTGTCTTTTTTTAAGCTCCATACAGAGTGAAATAGAGTAAATGAAGATGAGAGCAAAAAGCACAGTTTAAAGCAGCAAAGTAATGGCAGAGAGTAACTATGCATGATTGTATGCAGGACATTTTTAATGTTGCAAACATATTGAGTGACTTTAATTATGATTATATATGTAGCACCTCCCATTTCATTGTGTCTGGCAGGCAATTGTTTTGGAAGAACATATAGTTATAATGAAGTGGCTGGCATTGCATATACTTGGAGGATTACAGTTGTTTCAGGCTTACTATTTTACATTTTGTGTTCCAAAAACTACTTCATTATGTCAGCGACAAAACTGAGCCAGCATCAGAAGAGTGCTGTTTGGTCAAGAGAAAGCATCCAAAGCAGTGCGGGCTGTGCACATGGTGCCTCCCAGTGTTGGTAAGTGGTACTGCAGTTCTAGCATTGAAGGCAAACTTTTTGCAAGGTTATTTCATTGGACTATATTTATAATACATTATTAAAGTGTAGGACTACCCCAAATATCAGAACTGCTCAAGTTTTGTATCTTTTTGATTTATTAGATTTGTTTTTCTTTCTAGTTTGCCTTCAAGTTTCGCACTTTACTGTTTAGTTCATAGCCAGCCCTCGTTGTGGCTTTTAAGGGCTTAAACTTTGTCAGTGGCTCTCAAAAAAAGCACGTACATCACGCAATGACTAAAAACGCGACAGCTAAATAGCTTTAAACGATCCTTATAGATTCCACTATAATTACTACAAAATTTCTCTAACACAGCAGCATCACACTTGCAGAGACTGAAAATGGCAGTGTGGTTACATATAGAATGTGAGCATCATTGTAAATGTAAAAAAAAAAGAAAATCTAGGAGGCTACTAAGCAACAGTTTCCTGTGCCAGATTGTTTTCTTTTTTTTTCTCATTGATCAATATTTCGCTCTTCACAGGGACAAAGTCAATGACAGAACAAGTGCCAAGCAAGCATGACACAACCCGTACTGTAATTTCCATTTTGCCACTGGCTACTTTCCATCAGTGACTGATAAAGTTGGTTGATTGTAGCGCACTGCGTGCCAATCTGACCCATTTTTTTTTTTTTTTACTCCTGTTTAAACAGTAACTGAAACTGATATTGTCTTAAAACAGTAATGTGTCTTGTGTGTGTGAGTGTATGAATGACTTTTTTGATGTATTTGCTAAGAAAAACCAAAGCACTTTGAATGGTAATTTTACAGTTCTGCACTTCCAGTACAGTTGAACATGTATAACGTGACTGTTTCACTGTTTTTTCTGTTGGAAAGTTGAATTGCACAGGCTGGACCACTACAACTCCTAAAGGATGGATGATGGAGGGACTGATTTGTTTCTTCTTATTTTTATATATGACTGTACAACACATGTGTACTGTTGAAATGCATGATATGGGCTGCAGGATTCAAAGAAATATGGAGGGGATATAGAGTACTTTAAAACACTCAGCCTTTGGAGAAACTTCTTTTAACGTATTAAGGAACTGAACTTTTTTTTCCTTTTTTTTGATGCCTTATTTTCAAACTTAATGCTTTTCTGGTCACTGACATGCTGGAGTCGTACATGTGCAATCCTTTCTGTAGCCATAAACATCACCTAACAGACCAACACTCAAGGATGCCTTCAACACTAAGGATTATTTAACAACAGCTCAACCAGCACAAATGTCTGTTTCTCTGCATGTCACTTATTGTTTGGTTTTGTTTATTTTCCTCAGAGTACTTTATGTACAGGTTATTTATTATTTCTGTATTGTCTGTCAGAAAAGATGGAACAATAGACTTTTTTTTAGTCCGAGTTTATTTGTAGCTTGATGTGTGAGAAAGTCAAACAGGACAGTTTAAAACTATTACTCAGATATTCCCCTCTCTTTTCATTTTTTAATGTCTTCAAATAACGTTAACCAGAAGCAAAAATACTCACATGTTTTTCGTGGTTTAAAAGTAGTTAATTAACAGATTTCAGTCTGGGTTATCTGAAACATCCCTCCTCTCATGTCTTCCTCTGTTTCCAATAATCTGTCTGGATCACATATTCATGAAGGGTCTTGCAGTTTTTGTGCTGCACTGACACTTTGATTCACAGTGATAGATAATAGTCAGCCTCATGTCATCCTAGATCAGTATTTCAGTTCTTCAAGATTTTATGATTATGTGTCATGAACTAAGACTGCAGCTTCGACAATCCAAACTCTGCTGTTTAACTGCGGGTGTGTTTGCCCTCTCTCCAACTAGAACTGTATGCCTTGCCAATAAAAGAGAAACTCTTTACTGTTTGTGTCCTCGTCTTTGCTTTGAAAGGAATCTAAAAGATGAAGCGTATTAAAAACAAGAAGAGGACAATCCAAAATGGATGGCATCGAGTCACAAGCAGCCAACCCAATGGGTCGGTCTTAAAAAACTCATACTATAAAGCTACTATTGTTCAATCCCTTATAACTTAAAATCTTCCAAAGACACATTTGTAACGATACATTTTGGAGCAATGAGTAAACATTTAAGATTTAGAGTTGGAACAAGACCCTATGATTTTTAAAGAAACTAATACTTATGAGGTGCTAAGGTTCTTTTAATACGCCACTTAAAGGTAAAGAAAAAGTTATATTTGGATTTCAGAAGTGGTAAAACGCAACACGGACATTTCATCGGGTAGTCCTTTTAAGTGGAAAATGTAGAAGTAAAATACTTAATACTTCTATGCCACTGCAATTCAGAGGGGCATCTTGTGCTTTATGCTCCTTCCCCGTAGTTGATGGTACTCCAGGCGGAGGGCCCTGGTTCGAGTCCCACCGGTGGCTCCTTTCCAGCATGTCATTACCCACTCTCTCTCCACCTGATTTCTGCCAAAACAGCTTCTAATAGGCTACATTTATGCATCTGTAATAATATTATTAAAATTCTGCGTCAGTCCCCAGAACTCGTACTGAGTTTGGGAAGAGGGCCTTCATGTACTCTGCTCCCTCCGCATGGAACAGTCTTCAAAAAACACTCAAATTACAGGAACTCATCACTATTAATGATTTTAAAACTTGGCTCACAAGTTTTATAATGGCTAATTTTGGAGTGTGTAAATGTTTCACTGCATAGTATTTTATCATCATCACATAATTGTTCTTTTAGTGTGTATTGTGGTGTTGTGTTTTGTTTTTGTTGAACATGATCTCGTCGTCCTCCTCTTCCTCCTTCTTCTTCACCTTCTGGACTGTATTTGTCTATTTTTCTCATGTCTGTGCTTTCTTTTTAAGTTTGTCTTATATTTCTTTTTTGCTGCTGCCATTTTGGCCAGGCCTTGCTCAAAAAAGAGGTCATTTGATTTCAAGCAATTCTTGCCTGGTAAAATAAAGGTAAAATAAAATAAAAAACAGAATTAGGCCAGTTATAATCATGTAAAAAGCGACACATTTAGGGGCACATTTAGCTGTTTATATTTTTATCCTGTATCTTTTATTTATTATCCATTAGTAATTTTTTTTTTTTTTTGTGGAAGCCCATTTCCGCCAGTTAAAAAAGTAAAAATGGAAATAATAAAGTCATAATGAGATAAAAAGTCGAAATTATGAGCTATAAAGTCAGAATAATGAGATAAGTCAAAATAATGAGATAAAAAGTCAAAATAATGAAATTATGAGACTTCATTATTTTCATTTTTATTTTATTTTTACTGGCGGAAACGGGCTTCCATAGTTTTTCATCAGTAATGCTGAAATAACATCTCTGGACATTGGAGGAGGAGCTTTTCGGGAATGAATGGACCCTCTTCTCTGATTGGCCAGTCGTCCTGCCAATCATCCTTACACTCTCTGTGTGTGTGTGTGTGTGTGTGTGTGTGTGTGTGTGTGTGTGTGTGTGTGTGTGTGTGTGTGTGTGTGTGTGTGCGTGCGTGCGTGCGCGCGTGCGCGCGCGCGTACCCGCTTATGCCGGAGCTGTCAATCAAGAGGCGCACGAGCTACTGCAGGTGCAAAGCTGGGCATCGACGCTGCTGCTGAGAAGCTGAGGAGAAAACACACATTTCATGGTAAACCTTACGCTTATTTGTCTTTGTGGGACCGCGTAACTCCAGCAGTGGCAACACATAGTCTGTGGTTAGTTTGCCATGTGTCACATCATTGAAAAAGGCTGAAATATTAGCCGTAAGTAAGTAAGAGTAACCTTCATTTGACATGGCTGCGATGCTTAGCTAGCTTCCGATGCCACTTTAAACCACTGGTAACGGTACTCTGTGTTAGCATTAAAGGTAGCGCTGCTAGCCTAATTTAATGCATTTTCACCAGCTTTGTAATATTTAATCTTCGTGTTTTTCCATCATTTTAACAAAAGCCTCAACTTTATGTTATGTGGCATTCAATATTTTAAAATGTAAACGTCTTGTGCATGATTTTAATGTTTTTTTTCCTGACTGTGAAGCAGCCTGTCCACTAGCAGGCTAACGACAGATAAGCTGTGGACAGCTTGTTGTTCAGGCCCTTTAAATCGTGATCATGGTGTTAGAAACAGTCAGGGGGCACTTCAGGTGATGACGACTATTTCCTTTTTTTTTTTTTTTAAACCTCCAATTTACTACAAGGCATATCCTGTCTTACCATATGGTCATTCATAATTGGCAGGCTAGTGGAGGCTCCCTGCCCTCCTGGATGGGAAAGGATAGTCAGTTTAGCTGATGCTTAGCCTGCTAAGCTCTGGTACTTCCGCCCTGTTATCTGGAGGTGTGCACTCCTGTTATTGACATTTAGTGGAATCACTCCAGGCTGAGTGTGTGCAGGTATTGGCTGATTGTATTTACACAGCCTCTTGGTGGATGGGATGAAGTATTTTATTCCCTAATAAACCATAAGACTGCATGGGAACCATATGGTGTGTAACCTAACCTCAAACAGCTGACAATACTGACATTATTTGCCTTCATCACGTGTTACATTGTTTATCTAAGGCTGTTTAACAATGACCTATAAGTTCAGCTGATTTTCTGTTGTCTTTTGGAAGCCTGAATATAAACTACCTACCATTTTATGCACAATTATCCTTCACAGGTGTTACCAATAAATGTGTTATGATGAGATTCAATAGTTCCCATATGCGAGTTTTTGGAAGCAGGCCAGTAAAAATGAAATCTGACAAATGACAACTGCCAAGGAGGTCTTGATGCATGCTTTGCCTCTAAATACATTTCTGCCATTTGTTTTTTTGTCTTCGATCAGCTACTTTTGTCCAACCCACCATCCATAACCCAAGACAGAAAATTCATGCAGCTCTATGATAGCATGTTTGCATTAATTTATTATTTTATTATTAATTTTATTATTATTATTATTGGTCATTTATATGATCTCTGTGCGATGTGTGATGATGACTTGTTTATGTAACTCAGGCCAGAGGCAAGAATGTAAATTGTCCTAATAGATTTTTGCAATTCATCTGCATAAAACATGAAATGATTCATCCATTGGCTGACGAATTGCGTACTAAAAGGGAATGGACAGTTTCTTGAGTACAGTACCTGCACAATCTGATGGAATCAAATATTACAGCCCTGGCTTACTTTAAATTTATACTGTATAGCATCTATTTTTGCAGGAACTGTCAGAGAGGCTTTACTTCAACACAGTAGTTTGTGATGTTTTATTGTGTTTTGTTAAGGTTTATTAATCCTTGTGAACGTTTAACACTGGATCTCAATTCTTGCTTAGATGGCGTCTGCAAATGCAACATACGGACAGAAGGAGTCTTCAGACCAGAACTTTGATTACATGTTTAAAATCCTCATCATTGGGAACAGCAGCGTAGGAAAGACATCCTTCCTTTTCCGCTATGCAGACGACTCCTTCACGCCAGCCTTTGTCAGCACAGTAGGCATCGACTTTAAGGTCAAGACCATCTACAGGAACGACAAGAGGATAAAGCTGCAGATATGGGTGAGGAAGTGAACACAACATACATGCAGATATGACCACAGGACTACTTGACAGTAGCCAACGCTTCACTGAGTTGTTAAAAAGTCCCCTTTGTTTTGAATGTCTGACAGCCCACCTCTAACCATTTAGTCCCCTTTAGTCTTGTCTGGTTAGCGAAAACCAAAGTTTCAGGTCGTCAGGGTTTTTATCAAAAAACTATTCAAGCTTGCCGACGTCTGATCATCATGAACACCATCACATACAGCCCGAGATCGAGAAATCTATCGATTATTCTGGCAATTAATCGAGCAATCAGATAAGAAATATTGCATAGTTAGCAAGTTATTTTCCAATTAGATAAGTAGCATTATTCAAGAGCAACAGAAATATACAAAAGAGAAAACAAGACAGGTCGTTTAAATAAACAACCAACGTAGTTTTCCTTTTTGAGCATGTTTTCTATTTTTTTACACATTTGTTTTTTATAACTATTGTTCTTTATTGATGCCTATCTCAACTTTTTCTGTAACATCTCAAATCCTGAACGAAAAGGAGCAGAAAGAAGAGTAATCTTGTGTATAATCTGCCCCTCTTTCACATGACATTAATTAACAAAACACATAATTCAAACTTCTTAATGGTCAGTCAAAATTCAAATCCTGGCACTGCATCTGAGACAAACAATAAAGGATAATTGTCAGTCAGTGTGCGTGTGTCAAAGATGAAAACTCAGTCGGTAGGAACACAAGAGCAGAGCAGGGACATTGATCAGGAGAGAGAACACTTATAGACGCTCATGCTCTGTAGAAATTAAACGACCGCACATAAATTAGCTTACGTAAATTCAGAACAAGTTCCGAATAAAATTGTGGACTAAAGTTTCAGAGTCGGTGTGCAAACATGACGCTTTTTTTTAACGCTCGTCAATTTAGGACAAAGAAACGTGTGCAAAGGCCTTTAAGCCATCCATGATAATGCCTTTTTATAAGGCAGCTTGGAATGATTATTTTAAATTATCTTGTATTCTGATAACTGTAAAATGTCAGAGAACCTCGATTTAAGTATCCCATAGTCCAAAAGGGCTTCTCCAAATGCCTTTTAATGTCAGCTGTAAACAAAAGCCAAAGACACTCAGTAAACAGAGAAATCTCTGAAAATAAATCTACAACTTGTCTAATTCAATGTTTGAATCACCTTTTAAGCAATAACGTAAAAAGTTGAAGCTTCTCCACAGAGAATTTGTTGTTTGTCTGCCTATCATTTAATTCTTCTTGATCTAAAGCACTTTCTTGCAAGAAGTAGGTCTGATTGATTAGAATCAAGACAAATGTAATATGAGTGCCTGTTTTCCATGCAGCTGATCCACATCTGTGACTAAAGTGGTCTCTATTATTATGTATCTTTAATGATTAGCAGCTGTTCCACTAGCCCCTCCAGTCCTCACAATCACTTCATCTGCAGTGTAATGGCAATACCCTTGAAGTGTTCTTAACATCAGCCATAAAGCCCGACCCTGGGACCAATCACTTATTACACATGACACCACAGGAATACCTAATGCTCATAGGGCTTTGTCTGAATGTTAAACCTCTGCAATCATCAAGAGGCACGTTCACAGTCGTGAATTATTTGCAGGTGCAGGGCAGCGATCATCTGCACATACACACAAAAGAATTGCAACACTTGCGTCTCGTGTGCAGGGCCAATTAAATCCTTCATTGACATAAGATTTTTGGGACCACAGCTTTGGAAAGACTATCCATGGATGGATCTATCCATCTTACTTTTTAAATGTTTCCTCTTGGTGTTTGTGTTTGTGTAGGACACTGCTGGCCAGGAGCGTTACAGGACCATCACCACAGCTTACTACAGGGGGGCCATGGGTTTCATCCTCATGTATGACATCACAAACGAGGACTCCTTCAACGCTGTTCAAGACTGGTGAGCGATATCTGAGTATGCACGCCTGTGTATGAAGGTGGCAATTTACCAGCCCACAATCTCATTTCTTTTCACCTATATTAATTCACCCTTCCTGTTGTTTGTTGACAACAGTGTACCAATCAGCTGATGTTGCTCTGTATTGTCCAAATGCTTTGCAAAAAATCAGTTTTCTACCACAACTGGAAATAATATAGGGTAAAAAAGTAATCTGTAGGCAAAATAGATGTTTATATCAAGTAGTTGAGGTTGAGGCTAACGTTCTCTTTGTTTTTGATTATTGTAAATGGTTTATTATATCACTCTTGTGAAGCTGTAAATAAATACAAAAGCAAGATTTAATCAGTTTAAGTAAGCAGAACATACTTGACTGTATCTGCTGACAGGTCTACTCAGATCAAGACATACTCATGGGACAATGCCCAGGTCCTCCTGGTGGGGAACAAGTGTGATATGGAGGATGAACGAGTGGTGGCTGCAGAGAGAGGCCGGCAACTCTCAGATCAACTCGGTAAGTGTAAAGGTCTGAAATCAACTAGATCTAATGTGTCTCTTGTTCTTCAATATTTTGGATAATCTTATTTTCTTGAGAGCTTTAGCAAAATTTAGTATATAATCATCAATAAGTTGCTTAACACTTTGAAGGAATGAGTGCACCAGTGTCTAGTTTGCTATTTTTGCTTGTTTTGGTGTTTTGTCTCTCTAGTATTAACTGAAGTATTGAAATAATTACATACATGGTACATACAAAACTCAGTCATGTTTAGTAAACATTTAAAACATAGTACAAAATATACTGATCTTCATACCCCTTCAATCTTAAAAAAAGATTTTTAGTTTTGAAAGTTGTGCTCAAGCTTTTAAGTTTCCTAATTAAGATAAATTAAAGCAACATTCCTGGACAGGTGGACAGGTTGCTGCAAGTATTCACCATGTTTGACACTGCACCTAACATGATGTCTTCAATGAAAAGACAACATAATGACAAAACATATGTAAACCTACCTTTTCTGTTACAAAGAGAGTGAAGGCTTCTACTCTTGTGGTTTTTACTTGAAATGTATTCATAAAGGATTATGCAAAAAGATATATCACCGCCATTTTGCAGCCACCTGCACATTATTAGCAGCGTTGGTGTAAAAAATAAATAAAAGAAATCATGACAGATACTACACAGAAGTCTTTGTTTTTACCTGACAAAATGGCTGTGTGTTGTATATTGAAATGTATAAAGTTTCTCCTTTATTCTGTACTTGCCACACTCAGCAACAATAGATAATTTCATTATGTTTAAAAATGATGTAACAACCAATCAGGCTGAAGTAGTTGTTGGTCGAGGTTTGCTAAGGTCTAACATAGGAACATGTGTTAGTTTGAACAGAGGTCTGAGCTTCAGTGCTTCAGGCCTCATTCAGAAACGTAAATAGTCTAAGTCCTATACTTGCTTTATTCAATAAGGTGTTGTTTTCTGCTCTTATGTCACACCAAAACCCTGTTTGGGGAGTGATCTGCGTAGTCATTATCAGATGTAATGACCGTTTGTTTCAAAGCAAGTTTCATTGTAATCTGAAAATACAGACTAAGCTGTTTTAAGACCTATAAATAGATCATTACCAGGTACACACATCTGATACAGAGGTGAAAGTGAATGAGGTTTGAGCTCCCTGTCTCTCTATAGTCTCGATGTGCCCTGACATGATGGTATAAGTGGATTAGCTGGATAAGCTTCGCTTAAGAACAATGAGTGTACCCGAGGTCTGTCTCTGACTCTGTCATCTGTCCTGGCAGGCTTCGAGTACTTTGAGACGAGCGCTAAGGATAACATTAATGTGAAGCAGACCTTCGAGCGGCTGGTGGACATAATCTGCGAGAGGATGACTGAGAGTCTGGACAACAACGACCCGACCGTCACCGGAGCCAAGCAGGGGCCACAGCTCACCGAGCAGCCTCAGAGGTCCAGTCAGGATTGCGCTTGCTAAACATGACCACACACACACTCATGCACACTCATGCACACACTGTTTGCCAGAAAACCACACACAAGTTTACATTTTCTTCTGTCTGGTACTCACCTTTCCTTTCTCATTTACAATTACAATCAAATATATCAATATATCACAACCCAAGCACTGCCATACAGTGACACACAGCCTGGCTGCTTAGATTCTCCATCATCTCACTGAACCAACAGATCTACACCCCAAAGATTTTGTGTTTTCAAAGATGTATTTTTGGGGGGCTTTTTATGCCTTTTATTAGAGAGACCGGACAGTGGAGTCAGAAATCAGGGAGAGAGAGCAAGTGGGGAATGACATGTGGTTAAGGAGCCACAGTTCGGATTTGAACCCGGGCTGCCTTCTTTGAGGACTGCAGCCTCTGTATGGGATTTGGTGTTTTCAGAGATATTACTGAAGTTTTCTTGATTGCAGTAATATGGTCAGAGAGGTAATGAATTTAACCGAGGAACTATCCCAAGTTATCTTTTTTGGTAAACCAACACTATACTGTATCGTAATCGTAATAAAGACCAGTTAACACTTAGAGTCAATCATTTATCATTGACATGTCTGCAGGTTTTATTATTAATTGCTGTAAAAGAGGGATATTGAATTCATTCTCCTTTCCTAACCTCCCTTTTTACAATGAAATGCTCCAAACCCTTAATAGATACAAATCACTTCCATTTGTTTTCAAAGGTCCCATTCTAAATATACTACATGTTTGTTGCTGTGCATAGAGGTGCTGTTTTGTTTTTTTTACGTTTTTGAAATGGTTGCGTGTTATTTTGAGGATGTTGAATCACCGGTCATTACTGAGGGGTGTGTTTGACCTTCAGATATTTGCGATCCAAGCTTGATGTCACAGGGGTCATTTCAGTTTTGTAATCCTTTTAATATAAATAAAAGAAAATCATGCATATCAGTTTGATAGTCAAATTGGCCCTTTACCAGATCTGAATAATTTTTTACTTCATTTAGTGTATTCGAGAGGCAAATTCTGTCACTTAGTTGGTCAAGTGTAAAGAGCTGCATAGCATATGTAAGTTGCTCAATTTTAAATTCCAACTTTAGTTTTTTTTATGTGTTTTGTTAACTTTTTTAAAGACAAAATAAAAAGAAAAGGAGTGTATAAATGTCTAAAGATAGATATGCATTTTAAGGTGCATATATAATATATACATATACAATAATAAAGATTTAAATTGTAGGGATTCCTGCCTGTGCTTTGGTGGGAAATGCATGTTGATGTTTTTAAATGATTCTGGTTGACTGGATGGTTATTTGTGTGAGCTGTTGTCTGGATTGAAAACCCATTGGTCTGGCAGTTTCACCTCTCAGAGGTTTACCCGATGGAGCTGAAGGTTTCACAAATGAAGCCCGTCGCCCCTTCTCATTGAATTAACTCTCATTCACTGTTTACAATGTCAAACATGCACTCGCAAGATAGGCATGTGTAGGCACATGTATACACAGACCCACACTCTACAGATAGCCTCTTATGTCATGGTAGAAAATATTTGCATATTTACATCTTTTGGGGGACATAATTTTTGTAAGCATGTTAAATGTCAAATTGTGACTTTATTTCTATCTGATGCTAAAGATTTGTCTGCTTGTGTGTACAGTACCAAACCTCCTGTCTTGCATTCACAGATCAGCTGATGCATGCAACAATACTTTCACCTCCTAAGTTATTCAAAAATAGAATTGTATTTATTTTGTATTACTTATAACTTTATTTATTTTTGAGAAAATGTTCTTCCTAGATGATGCATTACAATCAGTACTCTGCTTTTTGAAGAGCTGTTCTATAGTGTTCAATTGCTTAAACCGTCTCAGCTTTTAAAATACAAATGTGTTTGTGTTTACAGTAAATATAAAGCTTAAGATTCTTCCTTAAGAGGAAAGTTGAACATTCCAGTGTACGAATCTCTTATCATGTCAACCCGGCTTTGGCGAGAACTTTGTTTGTCTTTTGATATCAGCTGTGTCGCTTTTAAGACTTGGTAGGACTGTTCTCACAGAGCAATAGCAGATTCTTCTCCACACCCAAAAATCAGCAACGTACAACTCTGCTGGTTTTTAATGCAAGTTCTGACACTGTGTGTGTGAATGTACAGTTTGTTGAAAGGCTGTATCATTAATTTGTCTTTCCAAAGATATACTGACGATAAATTTAGAGCCAAAAAAAGCGCTTGTTCTTCTCGACGTTTGCTTGCATTGCACTAGAAAACCTGTCTGGTAGAGATTTCCTACTCTGCTCAGACGCTTCATGGAGGGGAAAAAAATGTTTAGTAAGTACACTGAAAATTCTGAACACTTTATAAAAATAGTGATTCTTAATGCATTGGTTCATTTTTGATTTGTTGTTTGAATTTTTGTTAATTTATTGTGTTTTGCTACAGCTGTAAACTTTCCTGTGACTTAGAAACATGCATCCTGTTCAACCCTCCTCCTCTTCCCCATCCTTTCCCTGTCAGAAACAACCCTTGTAAATAGGAATTTACCTCCCCATCAGGTGTTTAGTTGTGTGAATTGAATTGTGCTGTACTTGTGTAATGCCAGATTTGCTAAAAGAAGGAATAAATGACCAAATTTGGAAAGCTGAATTTTGGTTTTGGTTTAATATTTCTCACTAAAGCCCAGTGATTTACAAGAAGTGCTCATGTGATCTTTGAGAAATGTTCTCTGAGTCTTGTGCCCAGCAGAGGGCATAATACCTCAATATGTCTTGTTTTCTTCCCTTTACAGTTGTTTGACCATCTATGGTTTGGTTCAGAACCTCTAATGTCTCCTAAAGAGAAGATACATGTAAAGGTATGACTGCAGTTATTCCTGCTAAAGTTCCTTCTTATATAATAAAGCAAGAAGTAAGATACACGTGAGGTTTAGTAATGTAGTGAGTTATTTAATAAAAGTCAGGTAGAGACTTTAAAGTCCATTACTCGTGGATACATAGGGTGTCAGCACCTACACAAACATTCATGGAAGTGGCAACTACACCGTAGCCAACATAAAACAAATACACCGTTACTGTACATAAGAGCGAAGAGACATGCAGTGTTCAATTTAGGAAAACAAGAACAAGTAAGACCATATGTCAAATAAGAAATGTTTCAGTAAATAAAATATATTTGTCATCGCTAAGTGCTTGTAAACAAGTAAGGCATTATATTACATGGTGGATGACAGCACTTAGTGACACCCTGGGGTTTGGTTGCACTCTTGGTTGAGATTGTCCAGCTTAAACTCACACTGATAACCGCTATCCTTTACGAAATGTCCAATGGATAGCTGTTTGCTACATGGCTTACCAAAACAAATAAGAGCAACAAAATGAGTCTGTTTGCTGCACACCACTGCCACATTTTCATGAATGATCAGAAGAGGCTGCAGCACATATACCTGCTGCTGCTAAATTTCCAGTACACTTTGCTCTCACTTAGGCCAGTTCATCTATACAGAGGAGTTATCTGTTTTTCTTCCTCAGTTACAGGCTTAATCTCCATGGTACATTTACAATGGCCTCATATCAAGTCTCTGGCAAGGATTAAAGGTTACAAATGTTCCTGAAAGCACAGGCCTCATCCTCAGAGCATATTAAAAGCTGTAAACACATCCATTACTGGCGTCTTAGTAAGCTTGGACTTGGTTTGGTAAAAGCTGGCACCCACTGCTGACATGGTTCATCACCTTCTGCTTCAGCTGGGCCACTTGCTCCCTGAGGACGCTGGCTGTGGACGCCAGCTCGGTGTTCTGCGTTTTAAGGCTCTTGACCTTGTCCTCCAGCCGAGAAATCCGCTCCAGTTTTCTTTTGCGACATTTGGAGGCGGCTATCCTATTCCGCAGCTTTTTCCTCTCCGCCTTGATGCGTTCCTGGTTGTCCATGTCGATGGGAGACAGAGGGGGGCTGTCCCCGAAGCTCTGCATGTCGGGCACGGTCTGCGGCTCGTCCTTCATCGCGCTGGCAGCCTGAAGTCGTGACAGCGCAGCCGCCGCCTGTTGCTGCGCCCCGGCCAGATGAGACGGTGGCGGCGGGAAGGGAATGGTGTCCGTGGCGTAGTTTATGGTGGTGCCTCCAAGCGGGCTAGCAGCATACCCGTTCAAAGTCGTGTACACGGGGAGGTCTGATGTCTGGAGCCCCGAGGACCCGACCGCGTTGGATGATCCGAGGAGCTCCAGTCTGTCCACGGAGACGCACCCGGCCTCGCTCAGCTGGTTCTGCTTGTGAAGATCCTCCAACGCCTTCACGAAACCCTCGGCGAATTCCTGCTCGTCACTTGCCGACTTCGGATACAGGAACTGGGTGGTCGGGTTGGTGCTGGCGGAGGTGACCAGACCGTTGGACTGGATGATAAGGCGCTCCAGGTCCGGGGTGGTTAGTTTCAAGAGTCCCAAGTCCGGTGAGTTTAGAAGTCCGTCTGTGTCTCGGAGCGGGTTCGATTTGAGCTCGGGGTTCTGGTCGTCCAGGTTCAGATTAATCTCCTTCTTCATCATCGTGCTCTGGTATATGCGGGAGACCCTCGGAGTGTTCAGCACGGTGCCTGGGTAGAGGGTTGTTTCCATTCTACACCCTCACATGAGGGAGTGCTGAGCGTTACGCATTGAAGACAATCGAGACGTAACATCCAAACATGAGGAAATCAGCTGTTCCTTATTTCTGTATGATCCTGATTCCTTCCCCTCTTCGGTAAGACAGACGACCACTTCAGCTGTACTGCCTTAAGGTCTCTAATGAGTCTCTCCTACGCGCGGGTGAGATTGTCTTTTCCCGATGGCACGACTGCTATGCGCAGCGCCAGACCTCGCTCGCTTTCTAGCCCTAAAAATTCCATTATGTCACTCCAGAGCGCGGAGATTGGCCCAAAATGACGTTGATTTCCGGTTCAATTTAAATAAGGGGCCGAGCCGGTCTTTATTGCCATGGAGACTCTAGGTAAACTACAAACAGTGCAATGCATTGTGGTTTGATGTCATAGCATAAAAAAGCTCAGGGTCGCCAAAAGAGAGCAGAGACTGGGCGGGGAAGGTGTAAGAGGCGAGGGCCAAGGAAAGGAGAAACAGAAGAACAGGCTTTACAGAAAACACTCCTTTAACTCGGACTGACGTGTTTCAGTAACAGACTTCAAGAGAAGAACTGATTCGATTGAACATATATCTGCATGTATTTTAATGTACAGATCGGTGTAGACTATTTTATGTCAAAATACTTTAATGGCCCCTGAAAATTCTCAAACTGGGATTGATAGAATAGGATAAAAAAAGACAAACAAAATCCTGATTAGGATTTAAGTAAAATATGGGTTAAATTCAAACAGAATTCAAATTGAATTCCCAACCCTAACCACAGCAACAGAGCTTGTTCCAGCTCTTTGAACATCAATGGCCACTTTCAACACTCTTGCAATACTTGAAATGATGTGTTCAAATGAGTTCTGAAAGTGTTTTGGGGAAATGTAGTGTAAAAGGGAAAAGGGAAGGAAACAGTGACTGTCGAATGAGGAAACCATGTGTTTTTTTGTGATTAAAAGTGTTATGTGGAAAGGTTAACATAATGAAATGTCTGCTGCTGAAATTCAAACACTCTGTGCTTTCATGGTTTTAGGGGTTACTGCCATCGTAGTTATGCACTTTCAAACAAGAACATTCATAGGAAAGTTTAGAACAGCTTTTCAAATCTTGAATAGATGAAATGACTAGATGTTCATGATAAAATGGAAATAAGACATAGACCAGAATGGACCAATGGAATTGATTTAGAAAAATAAAGAATGGAGTACAACATTATAGAATTAGGATAGAATAACATGGCACAGAAGATTAGAACTGATTATGATCAAACAAAATAGAAAAGAGGAAACAAAAGATCATAGATTAAAACATTATAGAATACATTAAACTAGAACAGAAATTAGTAGAAGGAGTTTGTTATAGAATTCAACTGAACCACAAATAATAAAATAGAGTACAAAACAGTTGGCTATAATAGATTATCATATAGATCAGAGGAGATTCATTAGAATAAAATAACATAAAATAACATATACCCAAGAAGAAGATAGAGAAGATAAACTAATACAACATTAGAGGGTATAGATAAACATTTTGACTAGAGCAGACATTCTTGAATATAGAAGCAAACTAGAAGAGAGTAGAATAAAATATTTTTTGTACTGTACTATATTATTGATGTTATTGTCATGTTGCTGTACTTACTGCTATTACAAAATAATATCGCTTCCGACAGATTTTTTTTCTATTATTTGAGGCGTTGCAGATATTGTAACTGTAACATTCATGCCAATAAAGCTTGCAGAACTGAATTGAAAAGGAGACACATACAGTCGATATCAGTATACACAGCCATTGAGTTTGGCTCAGTGGTGTAAGCTACAGTAGAACATTATTATTCCACCCATACACGGAGACGACGTCAGCAGACTGTCTGCATCAGCACCACACAGAAGAGAGGGCATCATTAGTTTCCATGGCAACACTGACATAGCTAGTGACGCAGGCGAGACAGAGAGAGAGAGAGAGAGAGAGAGAGAGAGAGAAAGGTGAATGGGTTGAGGGAGGAGAAGGTGCTGCTAGCAACTGCAGTGCAGGTTGTGTAGGTGGTCGGTGGAGGTGTTACAGTGCATGTGTACACGTGTATGTGTGTGTGTTTTTGTGGAGGCAGAAATCAATGTGTATTCTGTAACCGTGGATGCACTACCTTTTGTTCCAAGAAAAAAAAAAAAAACAATCTCCACCCTATGAAGAGCATATTATCTTCAGTGTGCCAGTTTGGAGCCACACAGGGTGCAGTGTCCAGAATGTGTGAGTCATTTCTTAACCCGAGGGTGTGGACAGCAGAGAGAGAGAGAGAGAGAGAGAGAGCACACTGAGAATAAGGGGAAAAAAAGATCTCTTTATGTTACACAATATTAGATTAGCTCTGCCTTCATTTAAACAAACTCTGGAAAAAGGTTTGTGCCTTTAACCTCAGGTAATGAGTGTGTGTGTGTGATTGTGTCAGAGGTTGTGTAAGATTTCAGTCTCTGAGAAGTGTCCTTTGACTCGAACTCTCCTGGGAGAAGCTAACTGGGCAAGCATGTTTTCAGCTACGCCCTGTGTCACACTCACTTGTGCTACAGTGCACACATTCACACCTGGGAGCTGCCCATTAGGATCACTGGTGCAGCTGGTCGGGGTTAAGCATTCATTCATGAGAAGACTCAACAGCTCATAGTGACAGAGGTGAGGTTCATAAGAATGCTGCCTTAACCTTTCATCTGAGAATGCAGAGCAGATGTTTGGTTTCAGTTTCTCACATTATTTAAATCACCGTCGGCTGCATTCAAACTATTTGATTCAAATGATCCCTTTTTGTTCCCTCTTTACCCCTTCCCAAACTGTCTTGTTTTGGTTAAATAAAACAAACCCATGCGTTGCCTTTTGTTTCTGTTTCTCTTCTAATGTACTCCCAATCCATTATTGTAAGAGGGAACGCTGTTAAGGGACGCATGCCCAGACAGCAGATGGCAGTGTGATCCATTCAGATTGGTTGTTTCATTTCCTTTCAGCTCTAAGCCAAAAGAAGAAACAAGCAGTAGCGCTGACAAGC